AGTGCTTCTTGTTTCATACTACAATAGCAGCGTGATAAGATACAATATCAATGTTACCTGATAAATTAAATAGCAAAAATTAGGGTTTAGGCCATTCGATGCCACGTTGTTATTTCTCAGAGAATTAACACAAAGTTCATTTTAATGTTTAGTTAGAGATATATTCTAAGGCGCTTTGGTTATTATTCAATGAGTTTTATAAAGTGTAGCAAAAATTGTAGTTACTATGCTTTGGATTTTAAGCAATTTTATATCAAACAGAAATTGTCCCGAATAAAATAAGGATCGAAGCGCTCTAGAATGTACCTTAAATTAATCATAAAAATGAATTGTGTCCTTATTCTTTGAGAAACAGTGATGTATATAAAATTGAATGACGTAAGCCTATATTTTGCACTATTTTTGTTTAGTTATTGATAAAACAAAGTAAAAAACGTCGAAAATTTACCAACAAAGTAATCCTCTTTTCTTCTCTTCTTCTTCGTTGAGGTTTGTATTTATACCGTGCTTCTCAAGTGACTAATGAAAAATATGAAAAATGCATATTTTGCATAATTATTTAAACTACAATCATCAAAAACTGTTTGTTTCTTTCACAGTCGTATAATTTAAATCTTTTCTTATCTAATTCTTCTATCTTCGTCCTAACAAGTCCTTCAATGAGGAGGTAACCCATAAAGATGTCGCAATTTCTGTTCATGTCCCAATTGTTACTCATTGACTTAGTTTTTTATCACTTTAAGGTAACAACTGTATAAAATAAGTAGAACAGCAAATATTTCTCAAATTTTTCAACATTCTTATGTATGATTCCATTACATAATTATACGCTATGCATCGCATTTGTCAAAAGTTATTTAAATAAGGAATTGTTACACTTTCGACATTTTTATGGCCATGCTAATCTTTTCGTTAAGAAAACATGGATACATATTTAAACATTTTAAACGACATAAACAAACTTTTAATGTTGAGAACCTTACACTGTTTAAAAGGTGTGAACTTTGATTATAAATGAAAAGTTAAATTGTCACACAAGTTTAGTTTGCTAACAGAAAGATGAACAGCAATACATATGTACACTAATAGAACATACAGGATGAGTCTCATAAGATGACGACCTCAAATAACTCACAAGTTATTTGTTGCACGAAAAAATGTTTCATACGAAAGTTGCGTAGTAGCCAGGGGTTCCACTTCCAGGGGATCCACTTTTTAAGTACTTTTTATTACGTAAAGTTTAATGTTTTATCCGAATTTGGAAAAATATATTAGACGTTCCATTTAAATAACTGAAAGTGATCTTAATGTCTCAATAAAAAGGTAAGGTAATTAAAAACAGATTAGAGCATTCTATGTCCTCCTGAATACTGTGCAATTTTTGTTTGAAAGATTTTTCGTAAAACAAATAACTTGGGAGTTAGTTGAAGTCGTCATGTTGTAAGATTCATACTGTATACGTTAATATTTCGATTCGAAAAATTAGTAGCTATTGATCTTAATCCTTTGCGGTCCGCGCTCCATTCGCAATTTCGTACCAGCCGGTCCGCACAGCTACGCCAGTCGCTTATCCGCTTGGTATCGTTTACGTTGGAAAACATTTATGACCTTACTAACGCAACGTACTTATGAATTGAGATATGAATTGATGACTTTATATATATAAAATAA